GTTAAGTAATATATAAACCAGTAAAATTTTAAATAGCCAGTAAGTTTTCCAGAGATGTCCAGTAAGTTTTCCAAATTAAGTGAGTGAAATTTTGAGATTTGTTGGGTCTTTGGAAATTCTTATGGGTGGGAATAAGTGAGTTTTCCGGGGCAAGCCAGTAAATTTCCAGAAAAATTGCCAATGAATTTTTAGAACAAAAGAACGTTTTTTAACAAGAGAGTTTAAAGTCTTGTTTAATGTAAAGTAGTCAATTTTGATCCGTTTGTAATGAATTATATATCAAAATGTTCGTCTTAATGAGTAGAACAAATACTTCTTAAGTAAGAACTAAGGTTTGCTTAATAAGATTTTGAGAAAACAGTAAAAGAAGAGTTAAAGAAGTTTTAATTATAGTTGAGTGAGTTTTAGTTTATTTGTAGTATATTTTATATCAAAATGTTCATATGAAGGAGCTGAATAAGTTTGTATTAAGGAATGTAAGTAGTTTTCTTAGTATAATTCAAGATAACTTTGAGTTTGTAGATATTTTATTTTTTAAAAGTTTTTTAATGAATTTGTAAACTAAAGTATAAAACTTTAGTAATATATATAAAATGAGTAGCTATACAAGTTTACTTAGAACATCAAAGTAAGTTTTCTTAATAATTTAAGAAGTTGTAGTCATTTTTGTCTTGTTGTTTTTTAGGTTTGGTTTGGTATAAGTGATTGACGGAAAGAGTTTTAATTTTGCCAAATAAGTTTTAATTATTCCAGTTTCTTAGATTTAGATTGCCCAAAAGCTTTTATTTTGAGATAGTAGTATCAAAGTTACAGATAATATATCTAACTGACATCAAATAAATCTTACCAGTATATGATCTATTTTTCTAAAAATGTCTTTGGTGAAATTTAAACTCTAGACCTGCTGCTTGGGGTGTAACAACTTAACCACTGCTCTAAGTCTTCACACCCACATAATTATTAACTTAAAATATAAATTAAAATTATTCAAGTAAAAATTACAAGTCTAAATTAAATTTACTCAAGTTTAAATTAAAGTTTAAGTAAAAATTATAAAGTTTAAATTTTAATTTAAACTTCAATTTAAAGTCTGGTAGTTTGTATTTAAAATTCAATTATAATTAATAAATTATTTGAGTTACTGGTTGTCAAAGCTTGCCCATCTATACTGCAGAAGATCTGCAAGAGATTTTTCTTAATTTTTTTTATATTTGCCCACCTGTACTGCAATTCATCCATTATTTTTAATAATAATTGTAGTGGCTTATACTGAGATTGACTTATGTTGAGAATTTAACCTATTTTATTTTAAATTTATAAAATTTTGAAAACTCTTTTTATAGCCTTTTTTTACAGCTAGATTAGGATTTAGAGTTAGAATTATCAATAAAAGAGTATATGTAGATTTTAGTAAATATTATAGCAATAAATTTAAATAGAGATCCTGAACTCAGCATAAGCTGCTACAATAATGGTTTATTATATAAAAATCAAATAATTTTTTAGTATTAATAAGATACAATTCAAAATTAACAAACATTTTTTCAGATTTATTTTTTTATACAATTAAAGGATAAAACTGCTAAAGATCAATCTGGTTATTAACAGGGGCTTGAATTCATTCATCAACCAGTTCAAGTCTAAATGTTTGTGAACAGGGCCACAACTTATTTAGAGAATTAACATAGCATGATTCAAAAATAGCAATACAATCAATTGCTATATTTAAATAATTTATTGTTTTAGCCAAAATAATTTGGGAGGCAAATTATCTGATAAGAAGATCAAATAACTAAAAATAAATTTGCATACAACAAAACTGGGAAACATACAATTACTTGTTTAGCTCTAAATAGATTGTAGATATTGGATAATAAAGAGTAAATGTGAATTTTGGAAATCAAGCATATACGATTTTACGAGCATTTTTCTATTGTGTTATAGGTAATGGCAGGTAGATCAAAATTAGCAATTAAGCGACGACTATGAGAAAATAAATTACTGAATCAGGTATCGCACATTAAAAGTTAGACTAATAATCTCATGCGACACAAATACAGGAGCAAGTGTAACTTCGGATGCGAAGATATAACATGCGAAGTTTCAATCGGCATTCACATCTTTTGCTTCGCCATATGCATATACCCAATAATTTGCGTACTAACGCCATTTAATTTGCCATATAACCATACACTACGTGAAATTTCAATATCACTCAGTTCCCGGTACATGCATTTACGAAGGTAAAAAATATATAAACGTCATATTAGTTGGGCATGCATTAAGAGCGGCTTTTCATAGAGTATGCATTTAAACCCGCAATTTAAATTTATGAAACCTTTCATCTAAGTGTAATATTGAATATGTACGAGTATCGTAAAATATACAAATTTTGATACAAAGGATCCAATATGAAGACGTGTAAAAAGGCTAAACGATTGGGTGCACGTATTGAGATTCGTAGATTTTGTTACGTTTAATAAACAAATACAAAATATATATTGTGCAAATTTATAAACACAAATATAATGCAGTTATAAAAATATATAAATATATATTATAAATTTATTGATATATATACTGATCACTGTAAAGTATTGGATAATAATGTAATAACGAAAAATATACGGATAAAGATTTCCTTTAGTTTGAACTCCAAATTCCTTGAGTTCTGGTAGAGTTAACTGACAACCATTTTGCCGAAAATCTACCTCTAGCCAACACAATTCATAAATCATGCCAATCCTAACCTAGACAGAGCATTAGTTCGTGACTGTCGACGAAATAGTCGCTAAAACCATTTGTGTACACCTTTTCTTGAGAGATAATAATGGTAGTATAATATAGCAATGCATGCAAAAAACTTGAGGCAAGACGTTATCAGTGCCATTAACGCCATATAAGTATTGATTACTATTTCGGAAGTGTAAATTGCCTATTTAAACAAGATGAAAAAAATATTTGAATTTTCATACCAAAATTGCATACATTTAATAAATAAAATTTATCGACATACCATAATAATCATAAGTGGAATATTCTTAAAAATAACTTCTACCAACACTCTAAATACAATAAACACTTTAACATAATGATCAACAGTTTTGCGTTTAGCATTGCTATCTTCAATATCATGATTGTTATTTTTATCTTCATTTTTGATGCTTTCTACATGAGCTTTTACTTTTTTAGTATAATCTTTTGATATGTTATCCAAAAATATTAAAGATTCGCTGTCAATTATTGCACAAATGATAAATATGATATGTTCCATATCTATGTCCTTGCTATCATTGTTATCTAATGTTGCTTTCAGTCGTTCAGTTATATTTTTCTGTAATTCAGCAAAGTTATCTTTTTCTGCGGTTATGACGTTTATAATATCAGTGCGTTTTTCTCTCATTGCCTTAGAAAATAAGTTTCTGATTTTATCAGTTTTATAATTTATTACGCTCTTATCATTTGTTATTCCTGTTATTCCTTGCTCAACAGAAATTAGTGACATATGTTTAGTGGACGTTTGTCCTTCATTAGAAGTTTCTTGCCCATAATAACTTTCTGGTTTATCATATAATTGGAAATTATAATAAACTTCATCAAGAGTTTCGTATAAATATTCTTCAATTCTTCCTTTAATATTTCTAAAAATTTCCTCTTTGATTGTATTAGAAATTTCAGTAGAAAATTTTTTCACTTCCTCTTCGATTTCCTTAGAAACTTTCGCTATTTTTTCTTTTTCATCAGAAAATTTCTTAAGGATTTCTTCTGTATTCTTGGTGACTTTATTAGTAAATTCTTTCACTTTCTCTACATTATTACTAATTTCAGTAGAAAATTCATTGATTTTTTTAGAAGCTTTAGGAGAAATTGCTTCAGCATTCTTAGACAACTTAGATAAATTTTCTTTCTCGTTGAATTCAGAAACTGTGGTAGAAAATTTTTTCTTGTTTTCTTGGAATTTAATTGAGCTTTCAATACGAGCTTCTTCTTTCTTCAGATTTTGATAATCTTCATTGATTTCTAGAATCTTGTCTGAGATTTCTTTTTGCAATTTGTTACAAAATCGTTCCAATAATTTGTTGAAAAGTTCCTTTAGTGACATAATAGCAGCATCAATATGTATCTCAGCAAAAATTATTTTTTCTATCATAGGATACTTTATTTTTTTTAAAAGATTTATTTTTGTAGTAAGTTGTAACTTTTTAGGCTCTTTTTCAAGTGTTTTAAGTTGTATTTCTGGAGAAATTTCTGCGGAAAGTATAGTATTCACATAAAATTTTTTAGATATTTTAATAGAGATGTTATGAAGAATTTCGGATCTCTTGTCAATAATTTTGGATTGTATATCGCTGGAAATTTTGTCAGAATCATTAAATAATTTGCCATCTTCAAAAATGTCCTTTATTATTAAAGAAATGTTTTCTGTATTCACTAAATCTTGCCCAATTGTTTTAAGAATTTTTTCGTTTTCGCTTAATTCATTCGTAATTTCGTTTAAAGACTGGCCAGAATCCTCTTGATTAGGAACATCAGGAACATTTAATGACATTACATCTGAAATCGAAGTATTATCTGTTTCCTCTATATCTATTTCATTATTTTCACCTTTTTTTGTTGTGCTTTCATTATTTGTACCGTTTCCTGTTGAGCTGACAAAAATTCCAACAATTTTTTTTTTCGAATATTTAAAGAACGTAACAATCATATTTTTTGCATTGTTAAGGAACGTAATTTTTGCTTTTGCATTGTCAATTTGCATGTCAAGTTGCTTCTTTTTTTCAGCATTAAATTCATTGCGCATTTTCTCCAATTCTTCTTCAGTAGGTCTCATAATATAGATAACAATGACTAAGACCATAACTGTATTTATTGCTACTTGAATGCCCCATATAATTATACTTTAAAATGATAAAAAACAAAATTAGTTCAATAATAATTGAAAAACTTGCAAATAAAAATGAAATTAATTACCTTGGCAAAAAAAGTTCTGGTTTTTCTTGAGTATTGATAAAAACAAAGTAAGTCGTAAAAAAGAAATTAATAGCAATGATTGCATAACTTGTGTATACATGAACTATTTCAACAATCTTTGAATCGAGATTGGAAAGGGGTTTGAATGAAAAGATGTATACAAATATGATTATTACAAGAACTATAATCGATACAACAATTAAGACTAAGTTATCGCTCCAAAAATTAGCTAAAATATAAAAGTTTATAAGTTTTTATTTTATTTTATTTTTTTTTAAAATAGTATAATTATTAAACTTACTCAATGGTACAAAGCCATAACGATTATCCAAATCATTTGTAAAACCAGTAGAAATGGTTGTGATTGCCTTATTTAAAATCATAGCATTTAGATCCGATGCCACGCTTTCAGCAACGCTTTCATTTAATTCTGGATTCGGTAAATCTATTTTAATCGAAAAAATAATTCTCTCTTTGTGATTAAAGTACTGGAATTTTTCATCTGTGCTTAGACGTGCACGTCGAACTGGTACTTTATCAGCAATTTCATTTAGCAATTGCGTAAAATAATTGGAGCGGGCAGATTTAGAAAATAATATGAATTGTTTCTCAGCGTCGTCTGTGATACTGATTAAACCAACAAAACCATCGACTACAAAATGTATGTGAATTAGTTTAAGTTATATGAAAATCCATATTTAAGTAGATTTTACGTATGAAAATAAGATAATACCTGAAGAATTAGAGCTAGCAATTAAATTGTTCCTATTATCTAGATTGATTAAAAATAAAAATAGTAAGAATTCATATCGAAAAAAAGACTAGATTTTAGATAATGTATTGAATATTACTTGAACTGAGATGCCAAATCCCAGCACCAATCCCGTTTAGAGGCTCCTGATAAATGCTACTTTGAACAAAATTATTGTCCATTTGCACATAATAATTTTGACCAAACTCATTAAATGTACTAGTAACAATCTTTATATTAATAGTTTTGCCATCTGGACTGAGTTCACAGAATTCCGTTGTCGGTGGAATTTTTTGTCTATAGTTATTGGTATCAGAATCCTTGTAAATGGTTAAATAACCACGCTGCGGGTCGGCAGTCGATAATTTAACAGGATCAAAGAAAGTTATATTTATAGTTGTAAACGATGGGTTTACACTATAATTAATGGGTGGGAAAACTTGATTTATTTGAAGATTACCGAAGCCATGATCTAAAAAAATAAATGTCTTAGTAATATATTAGGCATAAGAAAACTAGATTTTATATAATAATAAAAATATACCCCTAGATTCTAAAATTTTAGGCAGTATAATAGTATTCAAAGACCAAGAAGTGCTTTGATTATTTGTGTCGAGTGTTGGGATTAGAAAAGTATTATCATTTTTCTTAATAGCAAATGCGCCAAAACTATTTGTAGAAAAATTATTTCTAGGAATTGTTTGATTTGATGACATTGTTGAAGCCAAAGGCCTTGGATTATTATATTGATCATATGCATAGATGTAATAAGTCACATTATTATCACCAGTATGTAATATGTAACCACCAAATGGCATCGAAAGCGTCTGCCAACCTGTTGAGGGTATAGCGGCGGCGGTAGGGAGGTCGGATGGTTGATCTACTTTTATCAATGATCCTGATGATAAGAAGTAAATTCTTATATATTTTGTTGTGGAATTTGTTGTGCCATTACTATTCAAGTCGGTAAAATTGGTAGCGATTGTGCAAACTTGACCAACGCCAATAGATGCTAAGTCACAAAAAATTCCATTAAAAGTTACATTTCTGGTTAACGTATAGAGAAGAATCTTTCTTTCTTGAACAGTATTGTTATATGATATAAAATTAGCGTACACCGCGCCACGTATGTTAAATGAATTGGTGGTATTCTCATTGCTAGAATTAGCGTGGATTAGAGCATAACCACCATCAATAGTGGACATTCTTGTCAAATAAAAGCTTTGAACATTTTTACGAGCAAATT